TTTTTAATTCTACATCATCTTGTTCTAATAAAACAACCTGATATTTTAACACTCTGCTGGGGGACAGCCAATGACCCCCCCTTTTGTTCCACTGTCACCGAAATTGGGAAGAATAAACCTCGTAACACCAATGTAGTGTTAAAAGGCAGGCATTCTTTATTTGCGACGTCGGATGCACGGGGGATTACTCCACCTAACGTGCATACCTGGTACCTGTCTCAGTCAGGTTATATTGATCAAATACATGCATATTCATTACATTCATACATAATCAATAACATCCTCTCTAATGATTGGTGTAAATTCTCTCGCTTCCTATGTAAATTACTGCGCAGACTCTGTTGTTCACTTCTATTGTTCTCTTTTGAGTAGGTGGTATCATTTGGGTAGGGGGTCAATGAGTCAGTGGTCGCGATCTCCCCTTGCTGGAATTACATCTTACCCACTCGGCTCTCAGCCTTGGCAGTCTTAGCCAACTTTCTCAGTCTACTACACGAAACTACCTTCCATCTTCTTCTTTCATAGAATCATAGAACCGCTTTGATTGGAAAAGCCCTTTAAGATCATCGATTCCAAACGTTAACTTAACCCTGCCATCCCACCACTAAACCCTGGCCCTAAGCACCTCATCTCTCCTTCTTTTAAATACCTCCAGGGATGGGGACTCGGCCCCTTCCCTGGGCAGCCCGTTCCAATGCTTGACAACCCTTTCGGTGAAAAAATTTTTCCTAGTGTCCAACCTAAACCTCCCCTGAGCGCAACTTGAGGCCATTCCCTCTCGTCCTATCGCCCGTTACCTGGGAAAAGAGACCGACTCCCACCTCGCTACAGCCTCCTGTCAGGCAGTTGTGGAGGGCACATTTAAAGCACTGGCTTCTATTCCCCAACACTGTTTTTGTCTCACTGAGAAAGCAACTACATCAGTCTACTTCCCCTGCAAAAGCAGGTGGTTATAGTTACCTCTGTGGCTCCCAATGTTCTACTAAATTCCAGGCCAATATTATATAGCGCTATCAGAAAGGTCAGAAGAAATTAAAGCATTATGGGAGACCCTCATGTAAGCCAAGGGTATGTGATGGCTATTATAAATTGCAAGGGAAGGGCCATCTCATCTTACTGACGAGGAACAAAGAGGAGCATTACCTTGAAGGTGGGATGTATCTTCTTACACAGCAGTATTTCGCACTGCCGTAGCACAGCTGCTTCTGTAGGGGACGGCCACTGCACTTTGCTAAGACAGCAAAAAGTATTATTTTTTTTTACACAAAAAACCCCATGTGTAACCCAAGTAACTATTTTCTCTTTTTAGGTAGGGAGGGAGACTGCTGCCTAGGTATCAAACGGGGTACAGAACAAGGGGGAGCATTTCACATAAAAAAGCCAAAAAAAAAAAGCAAGATAAATTAGCAGAAATGGAGACCATAGGGGAGAACACCTGAAAAGCAAGACTTTGACAAGTTTCCCAGTCTCCAGAGGATCTTTACTAAGTTCTAACTCAGCCTGCTAGAATTTGCCACTGGCACTATAAAGTATCAGTTGCAACACGAACAGTCCTCTGCGATATTTAAGTTGGTTTGGAGTAAGAGGTCTCATACTACTAAGAAGTTTTTCTTAATGTCTAGCCTAAACCTGGTGCACACTGTCTATAGTTTCAGTTACATTAATAATTACCTTAACACCACAGACCATAGATGACAATACTATATTCCTTGTTCCTGGACCTAAGGTCCAGTTGGGTAGGGCTATACAGAGGAACACAGCAGCATTTATAATTAACTGATTCGATCCCATCTCCTCAATGCTAAAAAACTAAAATACAGAACCATTTCATCATTATTTTGGTTACAAACC